ATTTTCAGTTCCTATCTGTACCAGTGTACATCCTCTGGTCTAGCCAGACTTGTAAGGTCAAATTCGAGTCATGGTAGTGGGAGCAGGGAAGAAGCATTTATGAACTAGAGGAAAGTTAGGAGGGGGAATCTTTATAACTAGTTACAAGTAGGGTTTTAGTCTGATATAACAAAAATAATAGTAGCAATAATTGATATTGAATTTGCGTTTTAAGTAAAATTGTTGTTAGAGCAAAAATATATATTTAGTACCTCTAGATCTTGGCAAATCAATGTCATTGGTGGAGTAAAAATTAATTATAAAAAGTGCATACTTTGTGGCCCTATTTTAACTGACAGCTTTATTAAGCATAACTGTGTGCAGAGAGAAATTATGAGTAAATTATCTCACAAATCCCATGATAAGCTAGCAGGATCAAATGATTTCTGACAAGACCAGGAAATTTTCTCTCTACCAAATTTACACATTTTAAGAATAAACATGAATCTGTTTTTTAAAACTCCCGTTTGCTTTCCTGACCCCTAAAGGAAATGGGGGGGAGTGGTGGTCTCTAAAGGTGTCTGTTTGAGATTTCATCAGCTGCCTAGAGTCCTAGAATTTTTCTTGGTCTTTTTCTGCAAAAATTTGAAGCTGGATCAAGGATCCCTGAAAGGACTGTAATCTGAGTTCTGAGTAGAGGACAATGATCAATGATATCAAAAGTTTTACGAAAGCAAGTTATATAGCTCAAAGTAGAAAAAGAAAAAAGAACAAAGCCATCACAACAGTTTAAATTATCAAAAGAGAGAGAAAGAAAAAAACAAGTCATGTTCTATTCATCAGGAACATCTTTTGTAGCCCTTTCCTGTCAGCCCACTTCATTCCCTCCCAGGAAATTATCCCAACCACTCACTGTGCAGTGGGCTTTCCTGCAGAGTGCAGCCAGTGTACTCACAGAGCCTGCTCCTTCTCTTCCACTGGGCTGGCCCACTCCCTAGTCTGAGGTGCTTTTCTACCTGGACCAGGAGGGGTGGTCTGTGAGTGGGAGGAGGCATCTCACATGGGCTGAACCTGATGCTGCCTGAGCCTGCCTTACTGGAGGGCGGAAGTAACTGGAACTTCTCAGTCCGTGGATTTCTGTTTGAAATGTGGTGACTCAGATGGAAGCACGCTGACAGGGCTCAGTTAATCGCTTCTCTACATTCCTCCTAAATTTGCACCTCATTTGTTTAATATTTTATTTACTTTGCTCTTATAGTGTGCATGAACCTTCTGCTTTGGTACATTGTCTTCTTAGTTGGGGGCTTCTGGAGAAACAATTATCAGTCACGTGGAGTAGGAGACCCTGGGTGGTGCAAAATGCAAGCATTCTCAGCTGCTAACCCAAAGGTTGGCGTCACCAAAGAAAAGTTTGGTTATCTAACATGTATTTCTGAAAAACCAGCCAGAAACCCCATAGGGTCCAGTTCTAACCTGACACATTTAGGGTTGCTTTAAATCAATTCTCACTCAATGGCACTATAAAAAAAATTACATATGTATAAGAAGAGTGAAAGACTGATATACTTCAAAGACACTAACTCATGCCATTGTGGGAGGTTGGCTAGTCCAAAATCCATAGGTGAGGTGACAGGGTGGCGATAGCAATAAGAAGAATGAGAATTCCAGAACACTAAATTGTGCTCATTTGGAAGCTGTGAATGAAATCAACGGGCAGTCGTTCAAACAGAACAAGGGATGACTGTGTTGTTTTAAATCAGGTAAAGCGTGCATCGAGGTTTTATCTTTTCACCATACTATTCAATGCTGAGCGAATACTCTGAGAAGCTGGACTATATAAAGAAGAATGTAGCATCGGGATTGGAAGGCTTATTTACAACCTTTAGTATATAGATGTGTGACAGTTACATAATCTACTGTCAACTTGCACAAAGGGGTGGAGTTAAGCCTGTCAATCAGGTCATAGCCAATGGGGCCTCTGCATGGGCATGGCCTTCTCCTGAGGATTCTGGGAACTCCTGTCCTCCTCCCTGGAGGCAGGACACACACTCTCACTCTCTT